CTGTCTAGTATTTCTGGATTTCAAGGTGAAATTGTGAGGACAAAATGGAATATCTGTATCGCTTGGCAGATTTCTTTCTAGAATTTGATGAAAACAAGTCGGCAAATTTTTACAGTATGCAATAAAATTAAACTTGCCTGAACATCTTTGCTGAAATTGTTTTCCCCAAAAAACACTTGGTTGAATTCTCAGAAAGGCAACATTTTCTTGTCAAGGGGCAGAGGTAGTCTAGCATCACTGGCATTAATTATGGGACTAATATATGCTTTGCAGGTGAGATTTGTACTTGCCTTATTGAGAAAAGATCCTTAGAGGTGAATGGAATCATCACATTGTCATTTGTTAATTAAACCCAGGCTTTTGCAGGTCCTATCTAGCCCCACAAATAGGGCTGTAGTAGTGGCTCACTTTTACAATCTGTCTCTTATCTGTCGCCACCACAGCCCTACTTCAAGGCATGTCTTAGTAAATGCCTGAAATCCCAACTGCAGGATTGTCACAAACTTTGAATCCTAATATCTTCCGAAATAAGAATGCACTCGACAATTTTACTCACACCGGCGTATTTCCCAGAGTTTGGACTGTAACAGCACCCGAAAGCTTTCCAAAGTCGTCAATTTTCCGATGTATGGCGCCTCGAAAAACCCGGCTTGTACTGTTAAATGCCGACCACGGGCTGCCGCCATGGGCATGCAGAGCCTTGAACTGACAGCTTTTGAAGTATTCTCCAATCGTACAGTATAGATGGTAGAAGAACTAACGCGACATCATGCCCAAAATTACTTACCAACATTCCCGGAAAAAGCTGCTAGATCAAGGCTCTGCATGCCTATGGCGGTAGCCTACAAAGAGCGAATAGGTAGCAGGTCTTGTTTCTGTTATTGTTCTTTTTCATGGTTACTTTCTAGCTCTGCGTTTTCATTAAGAGTGAGTTGTTGAAGAAAAGGGTTTTCTTTTTAATCAAATGTAATTAGAAAGAGCGTCACGACCAACTATAAGCCTTGCCTCCAGGAAATAAATAACATAAGCCACAACGTCGTTTTAACTTTTCCGGCTCTAATTTTGATCTTCCTAATAATTATGTAATAGAATTGATTTTGTTCCCCTACTTTTTGAAATCCTAACTACCCCAGAATTAGGTCTTACAATTTGTGTGGGTTGCTTGGCAGTGCGTGTGGGCAGTTGGTAGCAGAACTTGCAGCAAGAGTCCTTGAGACGGGCATGACGGATCATTTCCCTAGCTAGTGACCTTCCACTTCACTTGGCTACTGGACTGAACAGAGACTGTTCTGTTGTCCCTCTGTGATTGCTCCTTCCATCGAACCTGCCATACTTACAAATTCGTCCCTGTCCTGCTCTAGGCAAAAACATTACCAGTGTAAGCCTATTGAACCACACATGCATACGTTGCCGAAACCTGATTTAGTCAAGGGGAAGGAAAGACTGTGCACTTGAA